GAGAGAGAGAGAGAGAGAGAGAGAGAGAGAGAGAGAGAGAGAGAGAGAGAGAGAGAGAGAGAGAGAGGGACAGACAGACAGACAGAGAGCAAACAATATCACTGGTCGACGCTGTGAAAGTAACGAAAACAGGGAGGATTCTGCTCAGTAGTCTCTAGAGGAGGAAGAGGAGTGGGGGGAGGACGAGCAGGAGGAGGAGAAGATGAAAGAGAACAAGGAGAAGAACAAGAGCAAGGGCCAAAGATATATCAGAAGCCATGCCAACGGCAGATTCTGTCACACGCATACCTTGTTTCGATGTCTGGGGACTTTGCACACTCGGCTACTAACGAAGCACCGCTGGCACTTTCCACCTCCCCCATATCCAACAATGCAGCAACAATGAACTCTAGCTGTGGCAACAAGACACCGACCACAAGTCAAAATGCACTTCATTTAGGTAAGCACTGAAATTAAGCACGGGGGATGGATCCAGATAGAGACAGTGGACGGGACGGTGGCAGAATGAATGATGGTGGTCCTATTAAGTCCTTGCAGCTGTTATGGGACAAAGGTAACCGCACAAGTCCCATGGCCTCCTTTTTCTTCTTTTTTCTTTGACCTGCCCCATGTGGATGGGGCTGTGTGCCCTCGTGGTTGGTGGTCAGTGCTCGATAGAGCTAGTGTGCGACACGTGCCGGGGTGGTGTTGTGTGCGAGTGTGGAGTGAGTAGGACACTACAGCCATGCAGGGGTGGGGTGGATATCACGATCTGTATGCTTCGCACTTTTGAACACCGTGCCATGGCTGTAGTGGTTAAGAAACTCAGCTCTTGAGGCTGAGGACGCCAGTTTGCTTCCATGTGTGCACAGAGGAGTTCTGATGCCGGTAAAATGTGCTGACTGTCCCAGGTGATTGAGTACAACTCGGGTCCTTGTTTAAACAGGCAAACGCAGCAGTCCCACCGCCCACTTGTTTCTGCTACTGTTCTCAGTCATAATACTCTCATGAACTCCAGCAAAATGAAGTGAGGAGAAAAAAGAGAGAAAAACAGCTTCAGCTGAGTCCGGAAGTACAACGAAAGAGTCAAAATGTCTCAGAAGAGTTTGAACGCTGGTTTGAAACAAAAAGAACCATAACCTGCAGATGATGGCTGGATGGTAAAACACATCAGAGGTTGACATTGGGTGCCCATGACCCGACCCGACCGTACCCAGCAGTACCCGACAGTTCTGGACGGGTGCGGGTATGGCATGATTAGTATGCACCGGGGCAGCGGGGTCCGGAAATCTGAGGGGGGGATATGGCCGGGGCAGGAAACTGTAGGGTGGGTGGGGTTGGGTGTTGACACAGTGCCTGGACGGTTACGGCCGGGCAAAGGTTTGCCCTGGTTCCGGGTACGGGTGGGTAGAGGTTTCGCGTGGGTGACCCGAGGCCTGTAGGCATACTAGGCATATTAGGCAAGCCTTGGTAGTATTAAAGCCAGGCCTGGCACTTTTTCTTCACTGGGAAGTAGTGGTACTAGTGGAGTGTGCCCCTAGTATAATTTTGTCTCTGGGCGTCTGCCGTTCATCTTAGGGCCGAGGTAGTACTAGGGCTAGGCCGTACTATTAATTTGGCCTGGTCCCAGTTGTTTCATCTTAGGGAATACGACATTCACTTATAAGCTCTGGCCATAATTGCGGTCAGATACATCGAAATCTGGTTGTAGTTGCGGCCAAATGTAGACATGAAAGTATCACTGTAAGTATCCCTAGCCACTGGCCCATTGCCGGCGCCAAAATTCGAAGTGGAGATCTGTGGATGGAAGCTAAAGAATCCGACATGCAAAGGCCTAAGTTTAAAATAAAGATAAAAACTAAGCTTGGGTGGAAAATTTTGGGCACAGGTACGGCTGGGCACGGGTGGATGGATACTGGGTTTGGGTGCGGCTGGATGCGGATGGGCTGGGCACGGGTGGATGGATACTGGGTTTGGGTGCGGCTGGATGCGGATGAACGAAAATTTGGCCTGGGTGTGGCTGAGTATGGGTAGACAATTTTTAAATCACCCTGGGTGGGCTGCGTACGGGTAGAAAAAAAAAATTATTAGCGTGGGTGGGTTCAGTCTGGGGAAAACAAAATGTGTTTACGTGGGTCCAGCTAGATATGATACATCAAGGCTTGGGCTGGGTCGGATATGGGTAGGAAAAAAAATGGTTTTGCGAACTCTGAAACACATGCAACCGTTTGGAGCTACCCATCTTCCCGAAAGCGAAAAAAGGGAAAACAAGCGTGGACGAGAGGCTCCGATATTGTTCAAATATCCATTGCATGTGTCATCAATGCTTTGTGGGTTCTGCTTTTTTTCCTAATGCGACCGACGAGGAAATCCGGAAAGCTTACCAAAGTATTGCTCAGATATATCATCTTGACAAGTACCAGAGCCCTCAGGTGGGTGAGAAGGCGGCGATGGTGTCTTTGTGGGTTCTGCTCAATTTTTTTTGATCGCTGAGAAAATGATTGTCCATGGTTCGAGTTTCTTCTTTGCGGTCTTGTTGCACATGCTTTAAACTGGGACTTTCTGGAGTCAATCCGGATGTAAACGAGGTGAGACACATGTCAGAAGTCACAGCTACTATGCCCATCCCTATAACCTATATGTGCTGAGTCCACTGACAGCTGCTATACCCATCCCTGTAAGCCAATTAGCCACCAGTATGCCTGCATCTGTATGTTTCCAGAGCCCTACTACCGTCTTCACCTGAATAGAATGCCCGGTCATTATAGCCATATTTGAGGCAACTTTCAGTCGATATGAAACGGCAATGCCCGGGCGACGGGCATTCTATTTGGGTGAAGACGGGCGTGCCGCGCGGATTCTCAAGTCTCAGGCTTGCTATTGACATCGAGCACGAATTCAACCATGGCTTACTGTCCACGCATATGCCTACCGCCAACTCAAGACGTGGACAGTAAACATATGGCCCAGAATGCCACTGGCTTCACGTGCAAAGCCCGTTACCTTAACTTGCTTCATCGAAGCTGTTTTTCGACTTTCGCATGCTCCTTTCACGCATGACCTGTCACTACCGTCTTCACCCGAATAGAACACCCTGTCTTAATAGCTGTATTTAGGGCAACTTTCAGTCCAGATGCAGCCATAATGACCGGGCGTTCCATTCGGGTGAAGACAGTAGGCATACCACGGACGTGTAGGTCACACCCTTGGCCTGGGCCAGCTTGAGATGGTGTGGCGGAGTTGGAAAGAGCCTCCCTGCAATCGAGATCCACGACCTGGGCACACTCAACAATTCCTTGGATCGTAGGAGTGGCTGCATCTTGAAATCCGTATTGCCTACCAGGGTCTGAGTTTTCAGGACCGCAGCCCAGAATTGGCTATTTTCCTGTGCCTTGATATTATTTAGCCCTGCCCTGTTTTTGAGTTCATTTGAGTATGATTGAGTATGCCTTGAGCATGACTCGCAGGCTACTGCCTGTGCGCTAAGCTGGCCGATGCTGCCAGATAACTCCGGGTTGAATTGTGAGGTCCCCGGCCTCTTGTTACCTTTATAATGGAATGGAATTGAATTGTTTTCGAAAAAAATAAAAATACAAAGTCCGTATCGCCAACCCTCTGCAGCATCCATATAAGCAAATCTCAAATAACGATTCGGTTTTCATCTTGTGTGTTCTCGTGTCGTCTTTGTGCTCAACAAAGAACGTACTCAGCCCAACCCAAGCCTATGTTCCTTTGCATAACTAATAAAAGTGCAATGCACGCTCCGCCATCCATGCTCCATGCTCCGCTGTACATATACTCAAGCCAGACAAGGTACTTTGCTCATCCAACGCAGGCTGAAGACATGGCCACAAATTCGCTACCCCATACACAAGCGAAGGTCGACCGTCAAATGCCCTCTAGAAGTTTTTCACCGTCAATCCCAGAGCAGAAATGAAGGCAAGTGCTCCACATGCCCCAAACATACCTCCTCTGCATCTTCATAGTCCAATGTATCTGCTTTCTCCATCTCTGAAAGCATTGTTTGAAATGCATCCTGCAAAAAACACACACTTCCCTTAAATAACTTCACACACAATGACCTCTTCTTCTAGACGAACGACCTATCCAGTCTTCAAAAGACCAGAGACTGGGTCTTATTTGGAAATGACTTATCAACGACAAGGGACGCACAATATGAGTCGAAGTATGGCAACGAACGTCCACAGCAGCACAGGCATGTGTACACCAACCAAATGACCATTTCCCCTCAATCACAAGATGACAAAACATCAGATTGCTTGACGCACACTTGCGCTCCTAGGCAGTTTCACATATCTGGGCTCGATGTCCTCTCTGAGAGTAATCCAGGGTGGATGTCTGCTCTGCAAAGGCCTGAGGAACTGTAGGGGAGGCCCCTCCCCGGGCCAGATTATCCAGGGTCCCCGATAATTGAAAAGAACTTTCAAAATAATAAAATATTGTCAAACGAAAAAAAGGGCATGCTGCACATGTCCAATACAACACAACAATGTCTTTGTTTTCCTCATAGGGGAAGAACGAAATTAAGAAAAAAGGAAAAAGAAGGGTATGTGATTGAAAAGGCCTGAGGAACTGTACGGGAGGCCCCTCCCCAGGCCCGCCCCCCTGAGGGCCATCCTGCTGCGTGTCTGGGTGCTCCCAGCAAGCCTCCCGGCCAGCAGGGTGCCCCCCCGGAGAAAGGCCATGCTTTGAGGGGGTGAGACCCCCCTTTTTGCAGCTGCCCCTTTGCTAGGTGACTGGTGCCACAAAGGTTAGGCCGTTCCCCTTCTCTGGTCTGGTCTCCCCCTTTCTTTGGATGAACAAACATGCTTGCCGTGCTGGTGATAAGCAACCGGACTGTTGCCCCCCAGACTGGAAGGCGCTTGAAACAAAAAAAACAAAAAACAAAAAGGTTCATAGGGGCTATAAACAGGTTCAGGGTGTACTCACAGTAGCACTATCTCAAATGTATCTGACCGCATTTAAGACACGACCTCGGTGAATCCGACTGCATTTACGTCCAGAAATAAGTAATGAAGTCCTCGTGTGAGCACGCCCAGGGTGTACTCACAGTAGCACTATCTCAACTGTATCTGACCGCATTTAAGACACGACCTCGATGAATCCGACTGCATTTACGTCCAGAAATAAGTAATGAAGTCCTCGTGTGAGCACGCCCTTAGAGAGGCCCTTTAGTTGATATAATTTAAACCACCATTGCGTACCTCAAACAAAAAAAAGAGCGAGTTTGCAACTTTGGACGCATCCAAAATATTCGGGGGCTTGGGGCTACCGGACCAAAATGGCTGGCGCCGCCAGCTAAAAAGAAATGAAATCACGCCCCTGCCGTTCCATTTTTTCTTTTGGCACGCACCACGGCTTCGGATCAGCAAAAACAGCCTCGGATGTTGTGGTGGTTTAAGAATTTCAAGTACTACTGTTACTCTCTATTTTTATTTTCATCTTAATTCTTTTCTGAACTTTGAGGTGATATGCAGGCAAAAGTTGTCTTTTGTTTGGTATGCTCTACATCACACTTCTGTTCAGGCCCCCCCCCCCACCAACAGGGAAGTGTGGATCTCCGACCAAGCTGAAGGTTTGGTTAGCATTTTCGCCATCTGCTCTGATGCCATCAAGTGATGCGGGCCTGTATCCGCCAGTCTGATCCCTAAGTATCTCAGCGGTTGAACTGAGGACACCCATCCCCCTGTAGTTCTGTGGTTGAGGTTGTGCTTCTTGACCATCGTGTGAAAACTACCAGCCTACAGTTGTTGGCATGGTAACTGTCCGGACATCCGCACTGGATTCCGGACAGTCCGGAACAACATGTCCAGTGTCCGGTGTCCGGTGCTTATGTCTGGATGGAGGCCCCCAGGGCAAAAATCTATAAAAAAAAATGGGGCGGCCCAGGACGTTTTTTGGGTCCTGGCCGCCCCTCGAAAAATAACTGGGTGATTTTTCAGTGTCGTTTCACCCCACCTGACAGGGCCTAGAGGTCCGGACACAAGACACTGCAGGTTTTGGGGGTGGCGGGTTTCAAACAGGCCCGAGCAATTTCAAAGCGGCCATTTTGACGTGCCTGCCGCCGCTGCTGCCCGTTGGAGAGAGAGAGAGAGAGAGAGAGAGAGAGAGAGAGAGAGAGAGAGAGAGAGAGAGAGCACTGACAGTGCTGCCAGTCTGAAGACTCTGACATTCTGAATTGAACTGCAAAGTTCGAACTTCTAAGTTCTATATGAAGTTATGAACTTACTAACTCCAAAGTTCAAAGTTCAAACTTCAAAGCATGGCTACGATCCGGACGTCCGGACCGCCGTCCAGACGGTCCGGATTCGGTCCGGACTCTGGACGTCCGGTCCAGACAGTCCGGATCTGCCAAAGTTCGAGGGAAAAAAAAAAAAAAAAAACGGTCCAGGACCCTTCCCCATTGAGGAGCCAAGCCCCCAAAATTCTTTTGGGGGTTTTTCAGGCCCGTTTATGCTTTTTTGGGGGGTCCGGACATGCTCTCTCTCTATAATAATTTATTAGACAACCCAAAGTTTTTGATTATGAATAATTCATTACCTTTTATTAGTTTTTTAAACTTTTTTAAGTCTTTTTTTAAGCTTTTTATAGTTTTTGACTTTTAACTCAAGTTTGGCTAGGAATTTTGACATGACTCTGAGGCAAAAGTGGTTTGCATTGTTTTTTTTTTGTTTTGTTTTTTAAATGTGGCCCCATGGACCACGGATCAGATATTAAACTGATCAGAACAGATACTACACTTGATCTTAGCCAAAGGGCCGAGAAAGGTATCGAGTGGTTTGCATTGTTATTCTGCATAACATACTTTTTTTTTCAGATTTATTTATTTATTTATTTATTTTCAATGGTCCGGACATTTCCGGACCTGTCCAGACATCCGGACCGTCCGGATCCCCCCATGTCCGGAGGTCCGGAAATGTCCGGAATTCCGGACGTCCGGAAACTACCGGACACGGGTCCGGTTCCATGTCCAGAAATGTCTGGGTCCGGGTCCGGCGTAGCCATGCTTCAAAGTTTTTTTTTTTTTTTTTTTTT